CATACTGGGAGAATTTCCTTCTATCCTTGAAGAAAGAAGAATTAAGTAAGTTTAAAAAGGAAAGAAAAAACTTTAATTTTTGAAACAGAAAAAGGATCTTAGAATCTTGAATGTGGGCAGTTAAGAGGCCAGATGGATTTGAAAGAATAGTTTCATAGATTATTTTAAACTTTTATAAAAATATAGCTGAAGTTTTTGGAATTAAATGTAAGAAACCTTAATGTGGGAAAGATTTGACTCTGAAAAGAAACAAAAAATAAGACTGGGTTTTGAAGGTTAACTAGAGGGAACCAGAGAGCAATTAAAGGAAAAGATACTAACATAATGGAGGGACATTACCTTACTACAGAAGAATTTAAGTTGGCTTGGGAACAATGTGTTCAGGACTTATTTTTAAAACGTTTTGATACTACTGAAGTGGATCTAACTGAGGTTACAGAAGAAGAAAAGATTTTATTGGATAAAACAGAGGCTGAGGATGATTTGAATAAAGATCTTAAAATGGACTTTAAAAAATTGTCAAACTATAAAAGACATATGAAGACACAGAAGAAGATGTTGAGGACTTGAAAAGGGACTTAAAAATGTTTGACTATAAGAGTGGTATGGAGAAAGAAGCTGCATGGGACCTACAAATTATGCTAGATGAAGTTTTAATAATTACAGGGGATATTCAGATTATAAATCAGAAGAGTGACTCTTAGAGCCATCTTATTTTGCATCCACAGAAGGGAAGTCTAAAAATGGACAGGGAGAAAATGATAAGAGATTATTATCATTTTATTTGATGAAGTGACTGAAAATCAAGCCTCTTAAAAAGAAGAAAAAGGAATTCAAAGTGGACTTATTTAATCAGGGTTAAATTGTATAAGTTATGATTCTGGGTTGTTACTATTGGAATCTTTTATTATGACTAGGATTGTATGATGAAGATTTAAAGATATTTTCATATTTGGATAAACTTTCTATGTTCTATTTGTTAGAGAAAGTTATAGGTTTGAAGGTAAAAGGGATTTAGTCTAAGATATATATGTTACTATTGCTGGTATTTTTATGCCTATGGGGGTAAATCTTTTATGTTTTACTTATTAGAGAAAGTTATAGCTAAAATGCATAATGGATTTATTTGTTTAAGGTTATGTAGGTTATTATTACTGGTACTCATTGCTTTTACTGTGTAAGAGATGATTTTTTTAAAAAACTTGGCTATTATTAAGGGATGACAAATGGGAAAAAAAGGTTTTTTCTTTTTTTTTGGAATATTAGAGAAGGTCTTAAGTTACTGTAAATGTTTATACTTGTTCAGAGGGAGGGGGAAGTAACTTTTTATATGTCTTTTTCTTTCTGTTCTCTTTCTTTCTCTTTTTCTCTTTTTCATTTGTATATCTTTTTTTAGTTCTCTATTAACTAACTTTTATCTCTGTAAAATTTTAATAAAAATATTATGTAAACATTCCTGAACAAAATTTCTTCCACACAAACACAATTTTCCTGAAGGGTAAATCGGCCCCTGCTTATTAGATGAGGAGTGTTCTCAGCATATATATAAGAAAACAGTGAACAACATACTTTCAGTTGTCTAAGATTTTTTTATATATATCATATGATGACTCACCACAATTAAGTTCATCTGAGCTATCTCCACAATCATTTTCTCCATCACATATAAAAGCTGGTAAAACACAGAGACCAGTTCCACACTGAAAACGCCCTGGTTGACATTTAAATTCAGCTGAAAAAAGAAAAGGAAGTTTTGAATAGCTACATACAGTAATACCTTGGTTCACGAACGCTTCTGTTCACGAACAATTTGGTTCACGAACAGCACCGTTCGCAAAATTTTGCTTCTGTTCGCGAGCTCTGCATCGGGTGATGAACACGACCTGCGGCCATTTTCCCTGCTGTGATACGTGGTCGTGGCTTCCTGTAGGTGAGGGGGACTCTCCCTGCAAACAATAACTGCCTCCCTACCCGCCTTCCTGTCCTCCACGCCAGAAGTCGCTTCAAGCAAGGTTAGTGTTCTCTCTTCATACTGTACTGTACTGTACTTTGTTTCAAATTTTGTGGTTTAAAAAAAAATACATATGGTTCCGAACGGATTAATCGTATTTACATTGAACCTTATGGGAAAATTTGATTCGGTTCGCGACCAATTCAGTTCGTGACCAGAGTCGTGGAATGAATTAAGTTCGTGAACGGAGGTACCACTGTATGTTGGTAATAAAATGAAATAAGGACTTTTCTAACATTCCAAGCAATTCTATACTATTAAAAAGACAATTAAGTCATATATCTTAAGAGTTGATACAGGTTCAAAAGTATCCCATTTGTCAGCCTACTCAATTATAATGTTCTCTTCTAAGACATAGTAGTTTTTAATCAAATAGAAATACAGTGTTTCTCAAAAAATATAATGTAATGTCTTTACATGTTATTTTTCTAGAAATGTTAATCAATCATCTCCTTACTATACTGAACTAAATGGTTTTACCTATATTATTCCTGGTTACAGGTTACATTTACTGTACATCTTTTCCAGCTAGCTGACCTTTGTTGACCTTGAAAAAGCTAAGCTTGAACAAATTACTTTCCCAGGAAACAAGCCAGAGGTATATATTGGAGAGGAAATACAAAAAAGCCCAAATAAATAAATAAATTCCTTGGGTGGGGGGAAACAATAACAAACCATTGGATGTTTTCATACAGTGATTAGGAGTTGAGCTTGACTAATTACAAAAAAAAAAAATGAATCTAACTGGTATCAAAAACACTCATCTGTTTCTCATGAGTAGCATGCATGGTTTCTTTCATTTGATTTGCTATAAAGGCAATAGATAAAATGTATCAGTAATCATAATTACTATATCTAAAGCTCCAATCTTATACATATTTACCTGGCAGTATACTCAAATGAACTGAGTTGATGTTACTCCTCAGTAAAATGCTTGCAAGTTTACTATATATTACTACATCACACTACAGTTTTATCTCTATGTGTATATTGTGAGCCACCCAGAGTCACCCTCCAGGGGAGATAGGTGGCATACAAATTGAATGAATGAATGAATGAATGAATGAATGAATGAATGAATGAATGAATGACCAATGTTCCAAGAAGGAGGCCTGGGTTAAGATTCTTATTAGAGTATATAATCATATGCTTATTTACCCTGAAATTTTACTGCTATCAACAAAGCTTTGTCTCTAGTATATGTTTTAATACAACATACAACCTAGGAATTCTTACTTGTACTGAATTATTTTGAATTGTTATAGTTTCAAAACTGTGTAACATTAATAAACAAAAGATTTAAAATACCATATATGCTAAAATGATAAAGAATGTTTGTTGCTGTTCTGTTATTGTTTTCCTACAGAGTGGATCTATGGATTTTTTTCCTAAACATCAGCTTATCATAATAGTAATCTCATAATAGTAGTCTCATAATTGATGACTCCATCTAATTAAGAAGCACTCATCATAACTTGCAGCAGTCTTCTTCTTCAATACCTCTGAAGTATTAATTATAAAAGGTAATTACAAGCACCTAGTTTCCTCCTGGGTAATCTAGTCTTGACCGAAAGAGACTATCTCTTATTTTGAATTTAAATTATAGGAAGGGAGATAAGTATTGGGATCCATTTTGTATCTATTGCTTGAAAATCAATCTTTACTTCTCCACATGGATTGGTATACTATACGTAGATGTGTCTCAGAGGATTTAGGGGAATGGGGAGTGGGAGACCAGCAGATAGTTACCTAGTAATTGCCTGCTTTGAAAAGGATGTGACCTGAGACCATTTACTTCTTGCTAAGTTTCAGGGAATGAGTTTACTGAGCAAGTGAACAGGAAGAGCTAAGAGGAACTTTCCAGGAGAGTGAAACAAGAAGAAAGAAGCTATGTGTTCTGAGGGACTATTTGCTCAGCTGTGAGGGCTGGGAATGCTATCTCCTGTATAGTTCATAATTGCAGCAGGTACAGCATATTTTGAAAGTCGCTGATTGTCTGGGGGGGAGGTGGTTGAGTGACTGCTTTGTGCTGAGTAAGCATAAATTTTGAAAGGAATATAAGGCAGCCACATTTATGGACTGAGCAAAGTATATGGAGAATGAAAGCAGTTTTCTAGGGGATTCCCTATCTCTCTTAGTCAAGAGTCTGAAAAGAGAACAAGAAAAAAATAAATAAAAGACTTTCTACTGGTGTGGTCTAAAAGGCAAAAGTGAAGAGGAATGGATAGGAGTCTGAGATGTGCAATGTTTATAGTATGTTTGTCTTTCTGCCTGAAAAGAACTTGCAAGCTTGACACAATCCTGAAGAAAAGCCAGAGAATTAGCCTACAGAATGGCCACACTTCAACTGATAAGAAAGGAGAAGGATTTATCAGTTCAAAGAAGGGAAGCTTTACAACAGAACCTGATAGTAACAGAAATTCTCCATAAGGAAGACTATCAAATGGAGGAATAAGCCCAGTGGATGACAGTAAAGATCAGAAGTAAGAGATACAAATCATATTCTGCCTCACTGGAACTCAGAAACAGTTTTCTGGTCCTTACAAAGGAAGCAGGCTCTGAGTGTTCAAGAAAGGAAAAAGAAGCACTGCAAGAAAGTTGGTCCCTAAACGGCATACAGAATGCAACTGTTCCCTATAAGAAGACAAAGAAAAAGGTCAAAGTAGCCGATGGCTCACTAGTATGAGGAACTGAAACAAATATATGCTGACATAGACCTATTAGTTTATAAAGTTTGCTCTTTCAGGACCAAGGATCAGGACATGACAGGACACCTTCCAAGTTATCAAGTGCCTTCCTGCTAATACATATAGGACAAATAACATTGCAGAAAACTGATTCAACCATATCACCATGGACTTTGAAAAAAAATCTCAGAAAGAAACTTAAGACTTTGGGGTGCTTAGCTAGTATTCTCATTCATCTTTCTAGTCCATAGAAAAGGAAAAATGAATACAGCAGATCAATGTCTAGCTATGAAATTGTATTGAAGAGATTTTGCTTTCTGAGACAATCATCTGAATTACCTAGATGATAGATTGCTGACTGGCATCTCACAAGAACTTGTAAAAGTGTATTTGGCCAAAGAATGACAAGCTTGATTAGGAGAGGTTTATAAAGTACGTTTGGGGGTTGTTTGGGGTGGGGGTGGAAATGAAAATCCTGAAGGAAGGACCTCAGGTAAAGATTTGTGCATTGTAAAAGGTGTGAATGTTGCTGAAATAAGGCCTTTTTAAGTACTTAGTGACAAATCTGAAAGAATCGGTTCATATATTTCATGGCCTTCATTGTGAATATAGTAATTCTCAGAGTATGGGAAATAAACAAGATGAGCCTGAGCTATTAGTTCAGAGAGCCAAATATAATTTAAAAGGCATAATGGAGACTTGATGGGATGACTCTCATGACTGAAATGTAGCAACTGAAGGAAACATTTGATAAAAAGGAACAGAAGCAGGAGAAAGCATATGGCTTGTATATCCAAATGAATGAGTCTGGCAATGTTACAGAGAGCAACTGGCTTAAAATAAGCAAATAAAAGTAATGCTATTGTAAGTATCTATTACCCATCTAAGCCAGAGAAGATATGGATGTTGTCTTTCAAAAGAAAATTGCTGTTCTTTTGAAGAGGCATAAAGTGGCAGGAATCAGAGATTTTAATTGTTCTAATATCTACTGAGACAAACTCTTAAAAGCATAATTATCTTTTTGTTTCTTTGTCTAAGTTATTTATTTTATCAGTGTTAACATAGATGAAAATTCTTATTTTTCCTAAAGTATTTCTATAATAAAATATCAAATAAAAAGGTGAGAATAGGCATCCTTGTTTGGTGTTCCTATTTCTTTGAGAACATTCTTTACCTGCTTCAACAATGGTGCATGAAACTGGGGGTTCTTCATCTTTCTGGTGACAAAGTGTTATCCCAACGTATTTATTTGTATCTTGCTAAAATTCTAGAAAATTCTGTTGAATAAGGGTGACTTATAACCATTGTCCTAGCAAATCTGGACTATCATGGCTAGTGCAGCATAATACTTAGTTTGTTTGAGTAGGACTAAAGACAGAAGACCTGATTTAAATGTTCATGCAACCTTAACATCTGGGTGATGATTTTGGACACATTAATATCTTATGTGGTGCTGTGTGAAAGAATTTGGATGAAGAACTATGTATTTCACATTCTATATAAATGAAATATAAATGCACATATAAAGAAAAAATATGGCAAATATGCTCTTGCTTTCTGGCAGCATTTTTACTTCACGTTTTCTGAATACTGACAAGAGGAATTTTGTGAAGTTATCAAATGGTCAGCTGATTTGATCATATTTCTGCCATGCTACGGAAGATGGGTAGCAGCAATACATTTTATAAGTGATTGGCAAAAGTCTTATAGACCTCGTTTATATTATTAATTGTAGATCTAATACATATAAAGGGGCATTAGAAAATTTAATTTCTAAAGTCCAATTGAAACTCCTGGACCTATAAAAAGTTTGATAACTGTGAGAACTAAGGTATAGTAATTTGATTTACTGTGCAGTAATATTCTGCATTTTCAAATGTAATATACAGAAATCAACCAGTATAACAAAATAATTTTCAGTAGTTGTATGTATCACTTTTACAATATGAACTGATAGTTCTGAAGAATAGTATTTCTAAAGTATTATATTCATTTATATTTACGGCACTCTTCAGGTTCATCTGATCCATCTCCACAATCATCCACAGTGTCACATTTCCACCAAAATGGAATACATTTGTCAGTCTTGCAGCGGAACTAAAGGAGAAATGTGTAGCAAAAAAAGCTTTAAAACAGTTACATAACTTACACAGGTCTCTGTGTGTGTGTGTGTGTGTATTCTATATACATTGTAAATAGAATAAAAAGTCCATAACTGGAATCTGATATACAGTTCTGGTTTCTATTTTCCATAAGCACCTTTGAAGTCTCATTCTTTTCTGTATATAACTCTATTGTATTTGCTGCAACAATATCCAGTCTTACAAAATAAATACTTCTGAGAATTAAATATATAGGATTTTGTTATAATTTTCTAACAGTGGCATATGTATCTCAAAATATCTAAATATATTTAAAAGGAGATAATTAAAATCTTACAAATCTCCTGTTCCAAACAATATACATACTTGACTGGCTGTGCAATTTGATAAGCAGGTCTTATTATCTGCTGCGAGGTAAAAGTTGGTAGGACAGGCGCAAGTGTGAGTTTTGTTCGGAGCCAGAAGGCACAGATGACTACAGCCACCATTATTTAATGTACATGTATGTTTAGCCACTAGAAATAAAAACATATAACAGTTAAAACATCCCTATGAAAGTCAAGAAAAGCAAATTCTAAAACTAATATTTTCCAATTTAAAGGTGCCTCTCTCATGTTTCTGCTGCGAGGTAAAAGTTGGTAGGACAGGCGCAAGGGTGAGTTTTGTTCGGAGCCAGAAGGCACAGATGACTACAGCCACCATTATTTAATGTACATGTATGTTTAGCCACTAGAAATAAAAACATATAACAGTTAAAACATCCCTATGAAAGTCAAGAAAAGCAAATTCTAAAACTAATATTTTCCAATTTAAAGATGCCTCTCTCATGTTTAAAACATATCCATTTTAGAAAGATTATTTTAAAAGGTGTGTAAGAATAATAAATGATGAAAATTGAACTGATACCACTTTTCTATAAAAATAGTTTATATGACATAAAATCATTTTATATTCTATAAAACTAATTCAGGTAATTGACCAATAATAATAGCTCTGTTCAGATATGTTCCCATGTAAACACAGAAAGGATCTGTGAAGACACCCTACTTTCTCCAAGTCACACTGAAACATCCATGGAAACACTGAGATTTTTCTGCAGTGTGAACATTGTTGTGTGTAAGTTTCCACCTCCCAAAGTCTCCTTGTTGCAGAAAATATGTCTTTACTTTTGATGATTGGCTTTGCAATGTTATTATTGGCGTAACAGAGAGGGAAAGATACACATTACTCATCGTGTTGAATTCTACACAGAATGTATTGTCTGAACAGAGCTAAGGAAGATTCTAAATCTGAGTTTTGCAGTATCAGGCCATTTCTAGTTGTCCAGTGAAGAAGATTTGGAGGATGTTTTTGACCCAGAAGGTGTCTGGTCATCATACCAATATTAAAAATGCTGTTTTCATTTCTATCCACAGTCTGTTACAAGAACTAGGGAAAATGGAGCAAGCTTAGTAGGTTACTGAAAGCTGTATCTGTGATTCACCCTTAATAGGCATTTTGTAGAATAGCCAGTTCTCTTATGCCTATTTTATGTCTCTAACAATCTTTAGCACTCTAAAATAGTTCATGGTTATTGCTAAGCAGAATTTAATAAAAAGTCTGATAACAAAGAAAGAGGGACTTGCTTAACTGAATATGTGATTAAAAAAAAATCAGTTCTTACCATTAGGTTGTCTATATGCATGGTACACTTGGATATCAGTTATGGCATGCCATGAGTTAATCAGGGCTACTTTATCTGCTCCAGAGATTTTATGGGCACGGTTGACCGTCTTGGTTTTTCCATCTGTCCAGTATATATAGTCTTCAAATAATGTTAGAGCAATCACCCCTAGAACATGCTGATTAGGGACTGCAATAGAATATAACATTAGCATTGAGTTTTGAAAAAGACTGATAGTTAAAATATTTTACATTGCAAAAGTTGGCCAAAAAGGGGCTCCTTTGAAGGCATTGCTGTTATGCCTGAAGTTGCTTCACAATCACTATGACTATGTATTGACATTGCTTAACAAGTTATATGTCTATTAGCCTCTGCCTTGTATTGAAAGTCTTTTAACAGTTGTTTCTTTTTCAGCCTTCTCTTCACTGAATACTTTGTGACATGTCCCACTTTCTCCATTTGGTAAATTATCATTCCAACCCAGTCCACTTTCCTGGGTTCATTTTCTCTATACATATTTTCAACCCATATTTCCTTCTGTAATTCCTAACTTTCCCTTAAGTAAATTCTGAGGATAAAGAATTAGCCAAAATCTGACAATGATTGAAACAGGCACTCAAGTGATGTAAACTAAGAAGACCCCTCAGCAAACTCCACTACAAAGCTGCAGGGCAACTATTGAAAAGAATTGGTAGAAAGTCAAATTCAGAAAAATATGTGGAGGATATATTCTGAAACATTGTCTCTCAAGAGAAATTAAAAAACAAACCATTTTCACAGAAAAGCAAAGGAGACAATCTTGGGCAGTAAGGTGATAACAGAATAAAGGACTATTGTGTTACTGTGTGACTGGAATAATGTTCCTGCTGGAAATACTCTCCTATCTTAGATATCCTTATAATGGTATGAGAAAAATTGACCCCTCAGGTATCCTGGACCAAGCAATTTAGAACTTTAAACATCATTACCAAGATTCAAACTCTACCTACAGTTAAAGGTATTTATTTTCATAAGGAATTATTATATGAATATGAATACACAAACACACACACACACACATTATTGAAAAGGAGAGAGAGACAGAGAGAGAGATATCTTCTCAATAAAACAAGTCAGTTGTTAAACTAGACAGCTGTCAACAGCTCATAAAACTTTGTAGTGCAAGTGCTCAGGATAAGAGATTTGAAAACACAGAGGTGGAATTAACGTTAAAACTAAAGATTTATCTCACAAGATCACTCCATGTGACTGGGCAATCAATGGTAATGTGATTTGTAGGAAAACCAGTCAATCACTGAATCCAATATTCCCCTTCCTGTCATCCCCACAGATGTGTATTACATAAACAATGAAAGCTTCTCTCTCTCTCCCTTCTCCTTATTTTTATACAGTTGCCACAGTGTCCATTTTGTGCCAAAGGAACAAACTGGGATTTAGTTTAAATGTAGAGTTTTGACTCAGAACAGTGGAAATGAAAAGGATGTTAAACATTTTATGTCTAATCAGACATATCAGATTTACAGTATGGGGTTGTGACTCATCTTTTTTTTCTTTTTGAGATAACTGT